TTTTTTTTGAGTGTTTTTGTATTATATTTGGTTCCCTTGATTCATCAAAGTTAGATGATCAGTGAGGTACTACCACTACAAAACACACTCACTAGAGAGATGTAGTTTGTCTCAACCTTGGGTCTACTGATCATTGCTTTTTTGGCCTCTTGGGGATAGCAAGAGGATAAAGTAAAAGTAGCAATACCATCAAATTTAAAAAACAGCCCACCCCCCCAAAAAAAAAAGTTTGGCAAAGTGGTGTATACATTCAAAGTAAAAGCAATGCAGAATTTTTCTTAACTTTTATATTTTTGGGAAATTAAGTATTATCACGAGTTGTGTTTGAAAACCAAGTCTGAATTGTAAAAACAACTACCAGAGGGGTCGATCTGCTGATGGTGGTGGGGAATCAGATCCCAAAACATCTTAGTGAATTAAGCAGAATAACTACAATTAAAAAATTTCATGTGGCAATAAACAGTTTATTGGTTAAAAATCACTTAAAGAACTTTAATATAGGAGTTAGAAAAAAACCCAGCACACCAATCCTGCAGTAATCTAACATCACACACACTTTGACAGACAAAAGGCAATTGTGTTAGTCACACCTGCACTATGCATACACTGTGATAAGAAACAGGTTTGTACTCTTTGTGAAAGAGGTCATGCTCATCCACTTCTCATGTAATGCAATATAATCTTAGACAAATTCCTTCCCGGGTGTTGTTGATTTAGGTGCCGAGTACTTCGCACCACTGTAGCGGTTGTCTCCTGCTGGACACTGACAACAGAGAAGTGAACCACCAATCAGTAGTAACCCTGCTGCACCCCAGCCCACGTACAAACAGGCACCTAGCTCTCTCCTCTGAGCATCTGGAACCATGGGGTTGTAAAAGTCCTTTATGATGGTATTAGCAGGCAGCGATACAGTCACAAGACACAGAGCCCCACTCAGGATGAAGAAAAAGCCTGCAGAGATAGCAACTCTGGCTTTTGCCATTTTGTCCCCAACACAGGTGGTGCATTTACCTCCAACCACAGAAAGCAGCAGGCCAAACAAAGAAAACAGGATGGAGATGACGATCATGGCTCGAGCTGCCTGCAGGTCTGGAGGCAGGGCCAAAAGGGAATCGTAGACCTTGCACTGCATCTGGCCGGTGCTTTGCACCACACAGCTCATCCAGAGTCCTTCCCAGATGGTTTGAGCCACCACAATGTTATTTCCAATGAAAGCAGATACCTTCCACAAGGGCAGCATGCAGATCAGTATGTTTCCAATCCACCCAAGCACAGCCAGCCCAACACCCAGAATCTGCAACCCTAAAGAAGCCATAACAGCTTTTTCCCCCCTTTTTTTAGACAAGTCAGTTCTTTGCAGGGTTTCCAAATAAGAGTCCACTCTCAGCAGAAGTTTTATATGACCTACAAATCCCCCCAGAATACAGCCCTCCTCTGGGTGGGCTCTGGCTCCACTGCATCAATCACGCTCCATTTGATTTCAGAGGTTTTATTGGCAACAAAGAGGCCCACTTGTCCCCCGGCCAGAGCCCAGGGCTTTCGTGCTCTTCAGGTGGGCTTCTTTATTAATGTTTTTTCTTATTTATTTTTTGAGTTGATTGGAACAGCAACAAACCACACCACATCATGTTAGGTTTTATAAAAATTCCTGTTTGCAGCGCGTCTCGGAAGGGTCCTTTTTTCTTGGCTGAAGTTCTGGCCACCGGTGCCTTTCCCCCTTAAATGGCTTAAAGAAAAATATGAATCACTGAAAATAAATCATTTAAGTGTAAATTTTTAAAAAAAAATAACAATGATTTCCCACTCTCTCCCCTTCCATTGATGCTCGGCTCTTTCACTGAGAGAGCTCACCTATCCAAGGGGCTCCGGTGGCTCCACGTTGGTGCTGTTCTTTACATCTGTTTCTTTCTTTGTTTTTTTCCCCCGCCTCTCCTTTCCAGGTGGCCTCCTCCGTTGTGCGGTTTCGTGTCCGCTCTTTGCTTTTGTTCCGAGCCTCTACGTCACCTCTTCTGCATCTTTTCCTTTTCTTCTCTTGTTTGTTTTGGTCTGCTCTTTTGTCTGCGTGACTCTCGCCTCCCCCTCCTGACGACTTTTTGGTGGGTTTTCTTCTACCACTTCTTTCTTTGCGTTTTCCGCACTTGCCTTCCCATTTTCTTATTGGCTTATCATAAGAAAATGGGTTGGAGGGGATCTGGAACATATGCCAGCTATCACTGGACAGAAGGTCAGTCCTAATGACCACAGGTGTTTTCACTTTGAACACTTCTGAATAACCAATCAGGAGAAACCACGAGCCTCCCATGTGGATATAAAAGCTGCAGTTGAGGGCTGGTGTCTTGTTGTGTTTCTAGTTGATTCTTCCTCACAGCTCTCTGTTGCACCAGAAGAGACAGTATGGCATCTGCAGGACTTCAGATCTTGGGCATCATTTTGGCAGTGATTGGCTTTTCTGGGGACATAATTACCTGTGCTTTGCCATTGTGGAAGGTGTCTGCTTTCATTGGAAACAACATCGTGACAGCACAAGTTTTCTGGGAGGGCCTCTGGATGAACTGTGTAATGCAGAGCACTGGCCAGATGCAGTGCAAGGTCTACGATTCCATGCTCGCTCTTCCTCAAGACCTGCAGGCAGCCCGTGCTCTGGTTGTGATCTCCATCTTGGTCACCCTAATGGGACTCCTGCTTGCCATCGCAGGCGGAAAGTGCACCAACTGCATTGAAGAGGAGACTGCAAAGAGTAAGGTGGCCATTGCTGCGGGGGTGGTGTTCATTGTTGGTGGCATCCTGTGCTTCATCCCTGTATCCTGGTCTGCTAATGAGGTCATCAGGAACTTCTACAACCCAATCATGTCTGACGGACAGAGGAGAGAGCTTGGAGCATCGCTGTTCATTGGCTGGGCTTCATCTGGACTCCTGATCATTGGAGGTGCACTCCTTTGTTGTCAGTGCAAGCAGCCTAAAGATGGTGGATACTCTGTCAAATACTCTGCTCCACGCTCTGCAACAGGTGGTGGAGCTGTTTTGTCTGCAAGAGGTTGGAACGGCTGTCGTGTCACTTCAAGGTGGCCTGGCTGTTTTTTTGGTCTATTTGGTGCTTTCCTTTTTGATTTTAATAAAACTCTTTTCACTAACTTGACTATGGTTGTTTTTTTTTTTTTTTTTTTTTTTTTTTTTTCTTTCGGTTGTTTCTGGTAAATGTTGGCTGCTTTTGTGCCGCATTTCTGGCCCTGGTGCTTTCGCTCCGCTCCTCTTGCCTCTAGGATTTTCGCGGGGCGCTCTGCGGCAACCTTGTTTGCCGCTTTCCTCCCGGCCTGCTCACCCCCCTACGCCTGCAGCTCCCTTCTGCGAATTGACCTTGATTGCTCTTCTCTTGGGGGGGGCCGTGTCCTAAGCTATCTTCTGGCCCGTCTGCACTCCTCCGGTTGTTTGATGCTGGGTGTTTGGTCTGCTTTTAATTGCTGGTTGCTTGGTGTCTGTAATGGGCTTTGTGGCTTGGTTTGTTGTGCTTGGGGACTTTTGTGATTGGTGCATAGTCCCATTGACTTTTTTTACCTTATGTGGTTACTGGCGCACTGCCATCTGTTGTTTCTTTTCTGGGGCCTGTGTGTGTCTGTCTGCCGTTTTGCTTGCTGCCTTGGTTTTGTGGTTGGCTCCTAGGCTTTTTTGTGTTACCATTTAAGTGCCGTTTCTGCATCAGTTTTGTACTGGCTCGTTTTTCCATGTTGGTTATGTGTCCGGTTACCTCATGCCTGCGTCTCTCTTGCTGGTTTTGGCAATCTGTTTCCTTTGTTGCACGCGTTTTTATCCACGTTGCTTCTGTTGGCCTCTCTACGTTTTTCAGGTCCCAAGCAGGCTCGCCCCACACGGTTGCCCGCTCCGCTGTCCCTCCTGTTGCTCTTCCTCTGGCGCCCCCCCAGCCTTTACAGCACCTGCGTGGAAGTTGTCTTCCTCCCTGGAGGTTGTTCTGATGTTTTTTTTTGTTTTTGTTTTTTTCCTTTTACAGACTTTTTTTCTGACCTGCCCCGTCGTTGGTGTGTGTTTGGCCTCTCGGTTTTCTTGGCCCCATCCTCTGTGCACTGCCCATGTGGAAGGTGTCGGCATTTCACGTCCCCTCATCTGTCGCGGTGTTTTGGGGGTTATGGTGAACTGTGTGTTCGCGCACGCGGTCGTCCACTCGCCTTGACTCAGTTTTGGCTTTCCCACGCTGCAAGCCTCCAGGGCTCTTCTGCGTGTCTATTGCTGTCAGCGTGGTGGCCATCGGGCTCACAGTGGTTGGAGCTCGATGCACTTCTTTCTTGTGACCAACTCCGACCTCCAATACCGGCATTGCGGGGTGTGGTGTTTTTATGCAGGGCTTGTGTTTTTCCTGTCACCTGGTCGGCTTACGCATCATCACAGGGTTTTCCTCCGTGGCCACAACAGGGCCAAGGGGCTGGGAGCTTCTTTTGGGTGGGTATCTGGAGCACTCCTCGTCATTGGGGTTCCTTTGTGCACCACCTACAGATGCTGTTGGGCCTGCTGTCCCATCCTGCTGCTGTGTTAACAGTTCACAAGCACTGTGTGCTTCCGACTTTTTTGTTTTGGGCTTTGAACTTCGTTTTTCATCTTTTTGTCAACCTGTTTGCACAATATTGTTCCATCACTCTGAAATGTGGCACATTTATGTGCATGTATATTGTATTTTTTTTTTTAGGCTCCGGATTGAGTCTGTTTGGCTGCTCTTGGTTGTTGTATGTTGCATTGATTACTGTTTACTGTGTCCGTATGCTGTGTGGCCACTGTTTTTTTATGTAGTATTTGTTTAAGGCTCATTCTTTGCAATTTTGTATTCTGCATGTGTGACACCGTTTTTTTTCTCTTTTATCATCCTTTCGTGCATTCCGTGCTCGTTTTCTGACGTTGCCCGACTGCCGTCCCCGTCCGCTCCACGCCCTCGCTTTCCCGTTTACTTCCCCCTTAGGTCCATAGGTTGTCATTCGTGGTGCCTTTGTTCCTTTTCCCTTTTTCTTGCGGCCAAATGGCTTCCATACTCCTGAAGTATCTCTCCTTTCAGGTAGTAAATTTTCTTCAAAAAAATGACATGCTGCTCTTGCTCTCAGACATATCTGGCCTTGCTCTGTTTTGCGCGCTCTTCACGGTTCGTGGTGTAGCTTTATAATTTAAATTACACTTATTTCAATCACGTAAACATTTATTCCAGGATTACCATGTACAGTAGGATATGGCAAAGCCCTGGTGAGGTGCACAGGAAAAAGATTCAAATTATAGATATGAGATAATATGATGTGCGTGGTTTATTCTCAAGAACAAAGGAAGAATGTCAGGTAAAGAAACTGTACTTCTCAAGCATGTGTATAAGGAAGAGTGAATTAAGGATGTAGCCTTCAAAGCCAACTGCAGGACAATGCAACATACCCATCTCAACCAACCCCAGTTCTTCCCTTAAAAAAAGCCCACAAGAAAAAAAGATCAAAGTTCAATGCCCCCAAAATGCCCCCACAGTAAGAAACACACACACACACACGAGCGCACACACACACGAGCGCACACACACACACGCACACAGCTAGCCGTCCAAAAAAAAAAAAAAAAAGAGCGTTATTGTGGTGAGGTCTCTGCCTTGCACTGTGTACTGGGTAGGAGTCTGTGAGCTATAGCTACACTACACACTAACCAGAAGAGATAGGAGTAGAAGGATAAGTGTGTGTGTTTATGTTTTCTCACCAGCTGAACGTAGGCTACTTTATAATCTGGTTGCTTAACCTTCTGGTTTAGATGATTTCTTTTCTTGTTGGACCCTGAAAAAGAGAAAGAGCAGCAGGTATTACTTTTGAAGGTAAACTAGAAAGAGAACAGAGGGACAAAGTGATGATATTTATGAATATAGTGAGAGCATGACTAAGCAAAAATAACAGTATAATGTTAAAAGAAATGAATATCATTATGGCTTATCAGTTACAGACTTATAGTCTCTAGTATGGTACCAGTATTATTCTGTGGGCAGTGTTGCAACATTTTTAGCTGTACTACGAGTCAGTCAACAAAACGTGTAAAGCACTAATTATCTGCCCAGAAATTACAACAGTGTGCTCCATTCCTTTCTGAACAACACTAGGGAGTCTAGTGAGTGTTTTTCTTTTTTTGTTTTTTTTTTAAGCAAGAAGCCCTAGCTACATCAAACAACAAGGGACGAGCACAGGGTGACAAAAGCCCAGGAAGCAGTGGACTTGAGCTTAATTTGTGCTACCACAAATATGTCCATTTGCGCATGCATTTCCCTAGGGAGTGGTATGGAGAGGGGTTTAAAACAAAGCAAATGTACTCCCCATGCAGTCCTCAAAAATCCCAACTGCATGTTGCTGGACGAGGATGACAACATGTGTCAGCTGAACACTAATTGGTTGACAAGTGAGCCAGAACGGGAAAAGCAGTGACAGTGAAGTTCACCACAAAAAGGAGATTTGGGGGGCGGGGGGGGCGGGGGGGAGCTTTTTGTATATTTTCAGCAGCTGGCTGACTGACCAACAACAGTACAAGCAAGAGTTTCCCACAGACTAGTTTTACCACATACTTTGTACGCTGTCCCTATCGACAACAGACACTCTCTACAGGTAGATGAGCTGTCCATGGACTGCCAGGAGACTTCCAGTGCATTACCACTGCTGATCCTTAACTTCAGCATTACACAATTTCAAGTCATTGAAAGAACAAAATAATTTTATGTGTTCTTTCAATTTCTCTGGATGGATCTTTGCTATAATTAATTATTGAAATTAATTAAATTATTTCCCCCAGGGATCAATAAAGTATTCTGATTCTATCCAAAAGGTTCCCTTTCTGGAATCTTGGCTTCAGATAAACTAAAGTGGTTGGTCTGAACTTTGAAAACGAGGTGAAAGTGAACTATTGCAAAAAACGAACAAAGGGTTATCTTCTCTTCATAGTGGCTAAAAGCCAAAGTTATAATTGAAAATGTGTGGAAAAGGACAAACCAATCTTGTTTACCATGTAGTGCTGGTTAACCTCTTTCACAACTGCAGGTGATGATGACATCATCCTCATTCCTTTCAGACCTCTCTGGGTTTGAAAGTCAGGGAACCGGGTAACTGCTGAGTGCGTGCATGTGTAGGGATACCACATGTGTGTGGAGGCAGGCTAGGGACTTAACTTCAAATAAATCAAAGAGATTTTTTGAGGCCCTAGATACAGGTATACACATCTTTACATTACAACAAAAACTACAATGATGACGGATACTAACCAGAGCATCAAATGGTCCATCTCTCCCATAGAACTCTAATCTCAATAAGACCCCAGTGGTCAAGTCAACAGGCCCTCTGAGTAACTGCCATTTCCATGGGAACAGTTTATGACATTCAAAAACAAGGGAAACATTCCCCTGTAGTGAGTCATTCGTGAGTGTGTGTCCATGCCTATGTGTGTGTGGTACGTGTAGCTAGTAATCACTAGCCGGGCAGCCCACTGCTCAGGGCTTTCCCTGACCAGGGTTGTAAAACACACCCCACCACCACCTCCACCACGCTGGCTAAGTGGAGGCCCCTAAGTGGGTGGGAGATGAAGGTAAAAAAAAAAAGTGTGTGTGTGTGTGTGTGTATGTTTGCCATTAGGTTGCTGAGGAAATCCACAGGGAAATGCTACAACCTTTGAAATAGCAAGGTACGACCCTGACCAGTTCTGTCATAAAACATCGAAAGGTCTTTGAAAACCCACAAACAAGTGCATAATACCTCGAAAAGATATAAAAGAAAGTATATTTCCCTTGGTTTCCTTTCCCAACGTATACAGACACACAGACAGACCTTTCATACAACACTCGCAAACGCAAGCACAATTCCTCCCTCTTTGAGATTGCGGTTTGGCAGCCAGCTATCACGTTACAAATCCCAGACCAGAGGAGTAACCATGGCAACTCCTTCCAAAATACCCCTGCCGCATATGGAGGGAAGAAAGGGTTGTTTTGCGCCCCTTACTCTCCTCAGCTTGCTCCCGTCTTTACACTGCAAATGGAGTGGAACCCCTGACGCAGACAGGGATACCTTCTCTGACGTACCTAAGGATAACCGGGGCCCTCAGCTAGTCTTACATCTCTGACCGACTCTATCCCCCAAAATCTACCTTCTTTCCTTCTTCTCAACCAAAGAGCTTTTCTCTTAGCTTCTAATGACACAACTCAAATAAACAGTTCTAATTGGTTCCTCAGACTGCAGGCTAAGCTAAGCTTGGCACCTCTCTCTGCCAGAAGTGGAGGGGTGTTCTCCTCTTGGACCTTCAGAGCTAGCAAAGAAGGGTCTTAGCATCTCTCCATCTTCAAGCAATTCAATTCTCCTTTTCCTCTGTTCTATCATGAACTTGCAGATTCCTAGAATTATACTGAGCCCCTAAAAACTTAAGCCATTAACTCACCCATAAAAAGCCAATAGGATTACTAAATCAATGATAAAACTGGTTTTGGCTCTGAAATTATCCCTGACAGGGGCGCAGGACTCAGGGATTCGAGGTTGGGATGAGGAGGGGACGAAGCAGCAAGTTTATAAGTGAATAGCATGTGTTTATGTGGAGGGAGCATGGGGTGTCCTGGGACAGCTGGAGTGCTGCAGCAGCAGATCGTCAGATAAGCAGCTGTGTGTGTTAAGGAGAAAGGAGAGCCAGGCACGCTAACCACCACCGCAACTAGCCGCTGGAAAACACTCCCGCTGCTGCATGTCAGTGGAAGGCCGTCTACAATGTAAGCTTAAATTGCTAATCACCGCTAACCACTGCTGACAGTCTCCAAAAATGAACCAATTAGACTTTATGTTTCCTAAAACCCTGCTTCTGTGAACCTCAGTGCTATATAAAAAACAATTAAAACAATTCTCACAATAGAGAATTAGAATTATCATGGGGGAAAAGAAGAGTAACAATATAACCTCATGTTTACAAATAATTTCCAGTAAAACCAGCACAAGTCAGAAACTGTTTTAAAAGATTTATATTATGGTTTTTAGCTCCTTTGAAAAGTTTTGCAAACTCTTGAGGCTTTTATTGTGAATTAAATAAAAAAAATAAATTAAACAAAAATGAATCGCTGCCAAGTTAAATTTTTAGACGTTTGATAAATTATTTAAAGAAATGTAGAAGTGTTTAAATACTTTATAGAAATATTTTTTGCCTACCCTGTAGGACGTAATGAGCTAGTAACATCATGTCACAAGTACCAGCATGTCACAAGTCTGCTATGAATATGCTCAGTTATTTGAGCAATTTGGGTGGGGGGTAATCTCTGAAGAATAACTTCCAGTGAACATCAAAGTACCGTATTTCCCAGACTACAAAGCGCACCTGAATATTAGCCGCACAAGCTAAAATCAGGGAAAATCCTGTTTTGTACATACATTAGCTGCACCTGACTAAAAGCCGCAGGTGTTTCAATGTTGACTTATCATATGTAAGAGAATATGCACAAAGGGAATTGTCAGGAAAGAGATGGCTGTTTGGAGACACACCCCTTTTATTAATATTTTGAAAAACAAGTTATGGGTACATATTTGCATAACTTTTTAGGTATATGTACAAGTAGCGGTAATTACAAGTACGAAACATGTACTGTGCTTCATAAATGAGTAACAAATGTAGTACATAACAATAACCTACAGCACACCAGAAAAATAGATTCGGACTACCTTTTAGGCTCAGGTGCAGTGACACGGCTTTAACAAGAAGAAAAGTCAGTCATTCACCACCATCTTCCTGCGCACTAAAACCACCAAAGTCCTCTTCTCCAGTGTCGGATACGAACAGGCTCAGGATGGCTTCGTCATCCACTCTCAGCTTCTTTCCTTCGTTGTCACTTTCAAAACCAAAGAAATCCTCGTTGTCAGTGTCAGAGTCGAACACCCTCAGAAGGGCCGTGGCGGTGTCCTCCTCTCCATCATGCAGCAGTCCAGCCCTTCGAAATCCGTTGGTGATCATGGATGTTTTCACACTTTTCCACGCTGTCAGATTCCACCGGTGGAGTTGAGCATAACTTGCTTTTCGCAAGTTTATCGCCGCTCGTCATCCACGACTCCCGCTGAACGCGTAGCGCTACTTTGAAGTTTGTTTTTCGCGCTACTTGTACGGCACTATGTTGCCTGGCGGATGGACATGTGACCAACATACCACTCTTGAACCCCGATACTGTGTGTCTGATCACATGCCCTTCCGCCAGGCAACGTAGTGCCGTACAACAGCGGAACAAACAAAACAAATCGTCTTACGATATGACAAAAATCATGGACAATCCATAGAAAAGCCGCACCTGACTAAAAGCCGCAGGGTTCAAAGCTTGTGCAAAAAGTAGCGGCTTATAGCCCGACATTTACGGTATATGTTTTTGAAATCTTGTCCCTATTAAAAATTATGAAATTACATTTACTAATTTAATTAAGTAAATGCATTACATTTTTAAATAATGGCAGTGCACTGGTATAACCAGTTCAAAAGTAAAAGCAATGCAGAATTTATCTTAACTTTTATATTTTTGGGAAATTAAGTATTATCACGAGTTGTGTTTGAAAACCAAGTCTGAATTGTAAAAACAACTACCAGAGGGGTCGATCTGCTGATGGTGGTGGGGAATCAGATCCCAAAACATCTTAGTGAATTAAGCAGAATAACTACAATTAAAAAATTTCATGTGGCAATAAACAGTTTATTGGTTAAAAATCACTTAAAGAACTTTAATATAGGAGTTAGAAAAAAACCCAGCACACCAGTCCTGCAGTAATCTAACATCACACACACTTTGACAGACAAAAGGCAATTGTGTTAGTCACACCTGCACTATGCATACACTGTGATAAGAAACAGGTTTGTACTCTTTGTGAAAGAGGTCATGCTCATCCACTTCTCATGTAATGCAATATAATCTTAGACAAATTCCTTCCCGGGTGTTGTTGATTTAGGTGCCGAGTACTTCGCACCACTGTAGCGGTTGTCTCCTGCTGGACACTGACAACAGAGAAGTGAACCACCAATCAGTAGTAACCCTGCTGCACCCCAGCCCACGTACAAACAGGCACCTAGCTCTCTCCTCTGAGCATCTGGAACCATGGGGTTGTAAAAGTCCTTTATGATGGTATTAGCAGGCAGCGATACAGTCACAAGACACAGAGCCCCACTCAGGATGAAGAAAAAGCCTGCAGAGATAGCAACTCTGGCTTTTGCCATTTTGTCCCCAACACAGGTGGTGCATTTACCTCCAACCACAGAAAGCAGCAGGCCAAACAAAGAAAACAGGATGGAGATGACGATCATGGCTCGAGCTGCCTGCAGGTCTGGAGGCAGGGCCAAAAGGGAATCGTAGACCTTGCACTGCATCTGGCCGGTGCTTTGCACCACACAGCTCATCCAGAGTCCTTCCCAGATGGTTTGAGCCACCACAATGTTATTTCCAATGAAAGCAGATACCTTCCACAAGGGCAGCATGCAGATCAGTATGTTTCCAATCCACCCAAGCACAGCCAGCCCAACACCCAGAATCTGCAACCCTAAAGATGCCATAACAGGTTTTTCCCCCCTTTTTTTAGACAAGTCAGTTCTTTGCAGGGTTTCCAAATAAGAGTCCACTCTCAGCAGAAGTTTTATATGACCTACAAATCCCCCCAGAATACAGCCCTCCTCTGGGTGGGCTCTGGCTCCACTGCATCAATCACGCTCCATTTGATTTCAGAGGTTTTCTTGGCAACAAAGAGGCCCACTTGTCCCCAAACAGAGCCCAGAGAAAGAAAAGAAGCTTTAACAGTGCAAATCAAGGGGGAATTCTTTTTAATTAATTTTAAATATATGGAATGATGCACAAACCCAACCACATCATGTTAGGTTTAATAAAGAAAAATTTCAAATGTCTGAGCAGCGACTCTAAAGAAGGGTAAACATTTTTATTGCCTCTGGAGAAAGAAAGTAAGAAATCCCACAATCATAAAAAAAGTAGTAAGTTTGATTTGGTTAAAAATATCAAAACTATTAAAACCCATTACCTGATAAGATAGGCTCATTAAAAGAGAAACCAACCATACCAAGGAGGATCACAGGCTGAGAAACTACCAACGTGGTGCATGTCTAATTTAATACTGTTTCTTTCTTTTGTTTTTTTCCCCAAGCCAATGCCTCACACCTAATTACCACAGGTGGACTCACTCAGCTTGATTGCTGCACTGGTAAAAGAAAATGAAATCAGATGTAAAACCAAAAGCAATCATTATGATCTCATATTGTTACACGAGATACTAAAGTCAATATTAAAATGCAATCTTTAAAATCACTTTTCTTCTCATTGTTATGTTCTTGGTAAAACTGCTACTTTTGTCTGAGTGAAATCATAGCCTCACAAAAAACACCCACAAAAAATAATGAAAAAGACATTAATTTAGGTGGAAGATTTTTATTCTAAACATTCTTTTCATTTGAGTTTTCACAGCACTTTTGCAAACATTCATCCATTTTCTTATTGGCTTATCATAAGAAAATGGGTTGGAGGGGATCTGGAACATATGCCAGCTATCACTGGACAGAAGGTCAGTCCTAATGACCACAGGTGTTTTCACTTTGAACACTTCTGAATAACCAATCAGGAGAAACCACGAGCCTCCCATGTGGATATAAAAGCTGCAGTTGAGGGCTGGTGTCTTGTTGTGTTTCTAGTTGATTCTTCCTCACAGCTCTCTGTTGCACCAGAAGAGACAGTATGGCATCTGCAGGACTTCAGATCTTGGGCATCATTTTGGCAGTGATTGGCTTTTCTGGGGACATAATTACCTGTGCTTTGCCATTGTGGAAGGTGTCTGCTTTCATTGGAAACAACATCGTGACAGCACAAGTTTTCTGGGAGGGCCTCTGGATGAACTGTGTAATGCAGAGCACTGGCCAGATGCAGTGCAAGGTCTACGATTCCATGCTCGCTCTTCCTCAAGACCTGCAGGCAGCCCGTGCTCTGGTTGTGATCTCCATCTTGGTCACCCTAATGGGACTCCTGCTTGCCATCGCAGGCGGAAAGTGCACCAACTGCATTGAAGAGGAGACTGCAAAGAGTAAGGTGGCCATTGCTGCGGGGGTGGTGTTCATTGTTGGTGGCATCCTGTGCTTCATCCCTGTATCCTGGTCTGCTAATGAGGTCATCAGGAACTTCTACAACCCAATCATGTCTGACGGACAGAGGAGAGAGCTTGGAGCATCGCTGTTCATTGGCTGGGCTTCATCTGGACTCCTGATCATTGGAGGTGCACTCCTTTGTTGTCAGTGCAAGCAGCCTAAAGATGGTGGATACTCTGTCAAATACTCTGCTCCACGCTCTGCAACAGGTGGTGGAGCATATGTTTAAATGTCTGCAAGAGGTTGGAACGGCTGTAGACTGTCACCCTCAAGAGAAATGGACTAGGCTGTTTTTATGGACTAAATATTTAGGTGCTTTTACTTTTTGATTTTAATAAAACTCTTTTCACTAACTTGCTATGGTTGTTTTTTTTTTTTTTTTTTTTTTTTTTTTTTTAAATTTAAATTGCTTTCAGTGGAATCTGTGGCAAAGAAAAGGCTGCTTTTGTAGACCGCACTTTCTCAGCAAACATGGTAGACTTTACGCTCCAGCTCACTACTAAAATGCAAACTCTAGGAATTTAGAGAAGGCAGCTAACTGCGTGCAAATTGTCTTGCAGAATTTAAACTAAAAGGCAACAAATGCCAAACCACAATCAGCAAAAATGCGCTACAAATTCATGAGTTGCACTTGAATTGATATTGTATTTGGAGGGGGGCAGTAGTACAAAATAAGCTAAAAATCTATCTGGCCCGTCTGACATACAACTGGTATGTTTGATGCTGGAGTGTTTGGTCTGCTTTTAATTGCTGGTTGCTTGGTGTCATGTAATGAAGGCTTTGTGGCTATAGGTTTGAATATTGTGCTTGGGGACTTTATGTGATTGGTGCATAAAGTCCCAAATTGACAATTTTACCTTATGTGGTTACTAGGCGACATGCCATCTGATATAGATTTAAAAAAATCTTCTGGGGCCTGTGATGTGTCTGTCTGCCAGTTTTGCTTGCTGACTTGGTTTTGTAAAGAGGTTGAGCTAACATAGGCTTTATTTAGTAAGATTAAAACATTTAAGTGCCAAGAAATATTCATAAAAATGCATCAGTAATTTGATACTGGTCTAGTTTTTCATGCATTCTGGTAATATGTGAAAAATACAAGAAGTATACCTCATGAAATCTGCAGTCTCTCTTGCTGGTTTAAATGAGCAATCTGTTTATCCTTTGTAATGACAAAGCAAGTTTTTATACACGATTGCTTCTGTTAATGGCCTTCTACTAGTTTTTCAGGTCAAGCAGGAATCAAGACAAACAGGAAACTTGCCACAGAACACAGAGTCCCCTCCCTGTTGCCTTTCTCATACCTGAGCAAAGCAAAACCCAACCAGCAGCATTTACAGACAACTGAAAGCTGGAAGTAAAAATGATCTTAAACTCAACTGGAGGTTGATTCTGATGTTTTTTTTTGTTTTGTTTTTTTTACTTTAAATACAGACTTTATTTTCTGAAAACATGAAGACTCAGATCGTTGGTGTGTGTTTGGCAATCCTCGGTTTTCTTGGCACCATCCTCATCTGTGCACTGCCCATGTGGAAGGTGTCGGCATTTATACAGTCAAACATCATCACTGCTCAGGTGTTTTGGGAAGGCTTATGGATGAACTGTGTGTTCCAGAGCACGGGTCAGTCACAATGCAAAACCTATGACTCAGTTTTGGCTTTACCACAAGAGCTGCAAGCCTCCAGGGCTCTAATCTGTGTGTCTATTGCTGTCAGCGTGGTGGCCATCGGGCTCACAGTGGTTGGAGCTCGATGCACTTCTTTCTTTGATTATGACCAACTGACCAAATCCAATGCCGGCATTGCAGGAGGTGTGGTGTTTATCATAGCAGGGATCGTGTGTATTATTCCTGTCACCTGGTCGGCTTACAGCATCATCACAGGGTTTTATAATCCTGTGGCCACAACAGGAAGCCAAGGAGAGCTGGGAGCTTCTATATATTTGGGATGGGTATCTGGAGCACTCCTCGTCATTGGAGGAATTACTTTGTGCACCACCTACAGATGCTGTAGAGGATGAGAGAACATGCTGTAGAACATCCAATACATGCTGCTGTTAACAGTTCACAAGACAATGTGTGCACTCTCAAAGACTTTTTTGTTTTGGGCTTTGAACTTCGATTTTCATCATTTTTGTCAACCTGTAATTGCACAATATTGAAATTATACAACAAATCATAATGAAATGTGGCACATTAATATAGTAAATTGCATGTATAATTATGTATTTTAATATTTTTAAAGAGCTACAAGGAAAATGAAGTCTGTTTGAGCTGCTCTTGGATTGTATGTATGTTGCATATGATAATACAAAATGTTTACTGAAAAAATGTCCGATATGCTTTGTAGAGCACATGTTTTAAAAAATTTAATGAATAGTATTTGTTTAAGGCTCATAATCTTATGCAATATTTGTATTACTGCATGTGTGAAAAAGTCTTTTTATACTTTTATACTTTCAGTGAATGTCAGTGATAGTTTTAGTGGAAGTTAGACAAAATGAAGTAAACCAGTCAGCTACAGAAAATAAGCTATTACCGTTTTTTAAAAAATTAGGTAAAAATAGGTATGAATTCAGTGGTAGACTTTGTAACATTTTTAAACTATGTGTTCTCCATTGTTTGTGCATGTTGTACTCTGTAAATAAAAAAAAAAACACCTTTGTGTATTTGTATCTTAACAAAAATAAAAAAATTCACTGTATATTTGTACTTTGGATGACAATTTATTTTTTTTTGTCTTTTTATTTCTATTTTGTAAAACTGCTAATTGCACTTAGGACTGTTCGATATGACGATATATATCGGATAATGATATGAAAACATTTATAGTTTAATATCATACGCTATCATTTGTTTCGTGGTGTCGCAAAATAAACTTTTTACGGCAATATTTTTGTTTTTGATGGTCACTGTAGTGGCTACGTAAACTTCTTAAAGCTCTCTTTTTTTCTTATATTTAAAATAACCACACTACAGACGGATAAGCGACTGTTTTTATGCATTGGTTTGTTAGCAACAACAATGGTAAACCCAGCGTGGAGCTCCGCCGTCCGCTTATTTATTTTCCACATGAACCTTTCACAATAAAGCTGAAGATCCTGTTGAGATTTTTCAAAATAAACTGAAATGATGACAAAATGCATTATTCTCAAACATCAAATTTCAGAATATGAAGATGAAACATTCACCGTACCAATTCTTCTTTTATGTTGCTCTATGTAATAGATATACTGGTGCAGTTTTGTTGTTGAAACTAGAATGTATCCCATGATGTTCATGCTCAAAGCTAGTTGGCCTGAAACTTGGAAAATATTGACGATATGAATATGAATAAAACGTTTTTACTTTGGCTTCAGTTAAACATACTGTAATAAGTTGTCTGATCTGATTTTTATTTCCAAAGACCCCCTGCTTGATGGTTAGCCAGTTAAATTGCAATAGTAAAAGGTCTCATTTTGTGTAACACCTTATAAAAAAAAATTGGGAGTGAGTTGGGCTTCTGTTTCTTGTCTGTGGACTCTGCGGCACATAAAGGGGCTGGGAAGCCAACCTATAGTGGTCAACCTAACCAGACCAAATACTACACAACACCAAATCCACATTTTAAGATCTGGTATGTTTTCTGTTCATTACATAGAGCAGATATTCACTGAATACATATCGAGAAATTCTATATGTAAGAGGTTGACTTTGCATTGCATCTCGCTCATACAAATTGTACCCTACAAGCCTACTCAACCCCTCCTACCTGTCACCATCACAAAGCATTACTGATGTTTCAAAGAGGAGGGGTGGCAGGAAGTGGTCAGTGTGAGATTTTTTTTAATTTAGGAAAGAAGGAGAAATCAAGAGCTTACTCAAAGAGAATCGCTGGGTTTCTGTCAATTGGCTTGGTGCTCTGAGGGCTCTGAGTGCTCTGAGGGCAGTCCATACCCTCCACCCTCCTAGCTCTTCTACTCCAAAAGGTGGAGTATATTATGTGACATGCATGAACTTGACAACTTTGCAGTCACAACACTTGATCCCACAAAAGATTTCTCACATGTTTTGCATGTGGCAGTTCACATGCAAAACACTCCGAAAACATCCAAAAGCCACAGCACCAGCCCCCCACTTCAGCCTGCCGCCAGTCCTGCTGACCCATTTAAAAAATATAGCTCTGAAGCAATGAACCACATGAAGCAAGTCTTAATCATCCACTGCAACTCCAAAAAAAGAAAAAGAAATTCAACAGACTCTCATCTCCTTTAATTTCAAGTAGAGAGAAAGATGTTTTCTTAAACTGTTCTACGGGCGACCGTGGCTCAGGGGGTTGGGAAGCGTGAATGAGAGTGAATGAATAGTGGCATTGTAAAGCGCTTTGGGTGCCTTGAAAAGCGCTATATAAATCCAATCCATTATTATTATTATTATTATACAACAGACAAGGAGCTCAATAATGATATGAATACATCCTTTGAAAAGAGGCAGCTTCTGAGCTGTTTGTGAATGTACGCATAAAACAAATATTCAAACACCTCCGGGCTACACAGTCAGGTTTTCAGGCTTTTACACTCATAGAAAGGGTTGATATTGAGCACTGAGCCTCTGAGATACTTTCATGTAGAAAGTGCAATTAGGGATGTGCGACATGACCAAAATCTCATCTCATATGAGACATTTATCGTCCTGACATTTTCTGTAAATTGTGTGAATCTCGGGCAACTCGACTTGCGTGAAGTGTTTCAGCTGGGTGTCATTTACCTGGAGTGTTTTGAGCCGCCATTTTCTTTGTGAGTATAACACGGTTTGCCTTCTGTTTGGAGCTACCTGGTTCTGCCTCATCTTCACTGGCCATGCCGGTATTCTCTGTGCCTGCATCCACGTGGTAACTGTAAGCGCCATTTATTGTTACTTCATGTTTTTATTTGAAGAATTGGTACGGTGAATGTTTCATCTTTGATTTTTTTTAATAATTTACTGAAGAAAACATTAAAAAGTGCACATTGGGTAATCTTTCAAGATGTAGAATATGAAAAGTCTCATTTTTTGCTTACATTTTGATGCAAGCTTCTCCTTCTAGCCACGGTTCCTTTTATTTGAAAAGAATTTTAATATAGTCATTTGTTAACACTTGCCATTGTATCTTATGGGTGTGAAATGTGGAAAAACTAATGGTGTTTACATGTTGTCATATTAATGAAGCAACGTTAGTTTCTTTAGTTTTCCAAAATCTTGTGGTATGGATTGAAAAGTTTCTCAGCATCAAATTTATCACTCTACCCCTGATGTATTCTGCATGTACACAATATTTACATGCACCACCCACAGATGCTAAACAAGAAGAGAAATCAGTACTGGAACAGACAGTGTTATCCACCAAATACAAAACAGTGCTGTAGTTGTCAGAGTACAATAATGTGTTCACTGATAGAATTCAGTTGTTTCAGACATTGATTGAAGCTCTACGTTAATTATGTATTATTATCTTGAACTTCACATCATATGAAAAATGCGGCAATTAGAGCTGTAAAGTAAATGGCTTTAGCATCTAGACCACAAATCATCAGTTCTGCAATAATATTGTCATGATGCAAGTGTATCTGGTATTATTCTGCTTGAATCCTGTGGTTTACTGTGTCCGCCCATGTGGGTGGAGCTCTGGGTGCTCACCTGTTTCTATCACCTGTAATCCATCAACAGCACTCAGCAGCTGACTCATAAGGCCAGCGCCGTCCTGTCAGTTTGTCAATGACCTCACAGCCTCCTTGCGGCTTGCGGGAGTGTTTTGTTGTTCCTTGCTTTGCATGTACCCTCATTTTCTTTGGTTGTTAGTTTTCCTGCCTCTGATTAACCTCACCTACTTTTAATCTCATAAACAGTGGCTGCACCTGGTAAGAATCTCCAAACCTGCTTGTAAACCCCTTCTTGGAAATGCCACTACTCATGGGACTCGCCTTTCGTCACTCCTGGATTCTCGGAATCACCAGGTTGAAACCTCACCTTTTACCAGTGTATGGCAAGTTACTTTGAAAAAGAAATTAGAGTTACTAGTTACGTCTTGAAAAAAGTAACTGAGTTAGTAACCTAGTTGCAAGATTCTAAAAGTAATTAATTACTTGAAAAGTAACTATTGCGTTACTTTAAGAAAAATGTTTAACCCTCTGGGGTCCAGGGTATAAATCACCATTTTTGAGTACTTTTGATCTCTACATATTCCCTGTAAAAACTATTTACTTTGCCTTGTTTGGTATCATTCTTTTCAGCACAACCTCACGTGTCTGAATTTACAGTTATATTTTAATTTTGACATACTGTATTAACAAAATGTATGTTTTTTGTCTGAATTTAGATCAAATCTGAGTAGAAAAATCTATATTTCTTTACTGTAACAACCACAAACATGTTTATTGAATCATGTTTCATAATTTTAAATGCAAATATAAATTGTCAATTTTAAGATTGTTTGCATAAGTTTTGCAAACAATGTTATTTGCAGCCATTTACTTTTTGCCCTTTTGTTAAAAAAACAAAACAATTTCAAACTCTTTACAGAACAATCAGGTGTTCTGCATTCAATAAGATGCCACACAAATTATTTGATGACATCAGTCATCTGCAACACAGCTCTGCACCTAACCACCTCTGCTTCAGTGCCTCGACGTCTGAGACCCTTGCTACATCCCCTCATTGTCTTTTGTACGTATTTCCTGTGCACAATAAAACCTGGTTAAATATGAACTTGTTTTGTCCATGTAGTCTGCTTCAGACTTTTGATAAATATTTTTCTACAATGGTTTTTATTTACTAATGTGTTTTGGCAGTCATTGTCTAATTTAACTACACATGTTGTCCAAACGTGTGCTCCTGTTGTCATGTATAGAGAAAAAAAAATAATAACACAATTTCTTTGGAAGTGCCTTTCAAAACACTCAAGGACACTGTAGACAGCAGAATAATTAAAAGCAAGCAGTTTAATCAATCATAAAAGCATAAGACATGAAACAAATTTAAAATGGCAGAGTGGTTGGTTCTGTTGGATAACCATTTTATTTTAACAAGCCAAAAAATATACATTATATTTCTGCTTTTTAATGCATTTTTGTCTTACATGAAATGTATTTCAAATGTTTTTCATTTAACAAACTAAGAGGAAAATAGCAGTTTGTCTCTGAGGCTCAGCACTAAACATAAACAATTTACATTTACAGACAGGTTTAAAGCTCCCCATCCTGGGACAACTTTTAAATATCTTGAGCTCGTTGTCTTAACCTTTAAAGCTAAAGCCAGCAGCTTTCTCTCTACTTACACAGCACAGTCAGCTTGCTTCTTTTGCTACAGTGGCTGTACTGTATTAGCAGATTATTATTGCATGAAATGAGAAACACACTAAGGATTAATATTTACAAATTTTGATGTAAGCTGGATTGAAGTGCCTTCCTGATGCTGGGACATCTGGGACAGATTTTTTTTTATTTTAACTAAAGCGGGCCTTTTTCTAAATAAACGTAACAGCTCATCACACCTCTACTAAAAAACAAAGATTAATGCTTATTGCCACTCCAATTATGAAAACACAGTCCATTGAAATACCTCAACATAAGGTACAATATAATATGTAATAATATAACTAAAAAATTAACAACTAAAAAAAGCTTGAAAAGATGACAAATAAAGCGCACACAACAACATGAAGCACAATGCAAAATACATTAAAAACAGTGCAGTGCAACAAGATGTAGTCATGTGAGAGTTCAGTCTAAGTTAGTGGGTCTATATCTTAAAGAAACAGTCAAACAGAGAAAGAACAAAGAATAAAATCAGCATCTAAGCAAGGAACCTTTTCACGTAATCCATCAAACTGATTAATATAACAATGGACATAAAAGGGAGACTGTTATTTATG